CTATATGCTAGAACAAATAATTTCGTTACTTTTTTGGAGTAAAATTATTTTATAGCATATACAGTAACGATGTATTACTTCTTGTGAGCAGATATACTAGGAAATGTACATTGCAGGCGTGTTTAAAAGTTAATTATACGTTTCATGGAATAATTTACTTTCTCTTCTACGAAGGTGGAAAACGTACGTATGTCAGAAAAATGTACGGATGTACTGAGAAAGTACGAATCTAGGTCAGCTAAATGTTTTTCATATCTCATGAAATTTATTAATTTTATGAAACAAACTAAACTGCTGTTTGATGAAGTATGAAGTTTTTTTAACTGTTCTTTCTGCTGCTCTTGTAGATTTTTTTTTAGACTATGTGCCAGTTCCAATTTTTTCCTTGCAGTTTTAAAAATATGACAATCTTGTATAAAATTCTTTATTGTTCTTTGTACATTGCAGCTCTCGCAAGTCGGAGGATCAAGTCTTCTTTGTAGCAGTGCGAGAACTCTCAATATCAATTCGTAATCTGCAGAGAGATGTATCTTATTTTTTAGAGGATCGGTGAGAGATTTCCTCATTTTAAACAGTGGGTTTTAATTTCGATTATTTTTGTTCCCACTTGTTTTGCCACATGTTCCACACATTTGCCCTTCTTCCTAAGTAACCATTAGACGTCTACTATTTCTTTTACAAGAGTGGTTTTGGACCATGTTATAATTAATAACATCTGACTTTAAGCTAGATTAAAATGAAATCCAATACATAAAACAAAATCATTTAATCACTGTCAGCTTGAAACATTTTGTGTACTTTTCGATGGTGTAGTTAGAATTTTATTATCTTGAACAGTTTTTGAGCAATTCCTTCTTATACAATAAAAACCGTGACCACCTTAAAACAAAAAAAAAAAAAAAATTGGCTTAACTCCTTTTTCCATGCATCAAATCAACTATTTAGTTAAAAATGTTGTCTATAATCATCCTCCAGAGTTCTGCTGTTAAGAACTGTGGCACACTGTATACAAGTTTAAAAAAAATAAAAACTTTTCATATATTTTATTTAAGTTTATAGTAAAAACTTTATCTTAATACATTTTCTATTTCGATCCTGAAATTATTGGCCTAATATTCTCTGAATCACCCACTATTTTTGAAAACAGCGGCTCTGGACTGATAGACAAGTTTCATTTTACTTAGAATAACGAGATATCCATTTTAGGGCCCTAGCGCCAATGCTATTTTCGCGTTTGAAAGCATTATAGAGTTGATGACATTTATTTATTTATTTATTTTTTATGAAAGTTGCTTCCAGTCCAATCATAGTTCTCGGATACCGTTATTTCAGGATTTTTGATGAATATGAACCTTTTGTATTATTTATAAATTGCAATGTTATGGGGGGCGCAGTGGCCGAACGGGCTAACTCGTGTACACATCATCACGCGTTGCCTGGAAACCCGCATATAAGATATCGTGATAATATTTAATATATATATATGTGATAATATATCTCCGAGTTCGCGTCGTGGTGACAAGGGGGGGCTTTTAACTCTGGCATTAAACCCCTGGTCTGGGAAACACTCGGATGTCCTTAATGGCTAAGAGGACAGAAAAAAAATAATAACAAAAGGCTTAGCGAAAGTTCGATGCCGACACATCCAATCACTTATTACACACCTCCCTTCACCGTTCGCCGTCCATACCCAGTCTCTTCAGATCGGGTTTAACGCAATATTCCCACCTTCGCTTCGATCGATTACCATTCACAGCAAATATTAACCTTTTAGAAATTCTTTCGTTACTAGGTCCAAAAATTTTACAAGCCCATTTGATTCTCCACAACTTAATCACCTAATTATATTTACCGGATAAAGTGCATAAAATTCAGAGTTGTGTAACCGACTAAACTCTCGGGTTAATTCATCCTTCTTCGGTCTGAATATTCTAAGCAATACTTTATTTTCAAAAATCTTAAGACGTTCTCGATCCCTTAATGTAAGCGGCCACGTTTCGGTTCAATAAAGAACAGCAGATAATATAATAGTTTTATAGATTCTAGTTTTTAAATACCGGGCCAAGATGTGCGAGCTTAGTAGTTTTGTCATAGGAAAATAAAAAGCATTTTCTGCCTTCAGTCTTACCCTAATCTCCTCTTCAATTTCATTTTTTCTAGTTAACCCGTGACTATTTGTGATGTATAGTAAACTAAAGATATGTGATTAAGGCGTTCAATCTTACGTCACACCCTACAGCAAGTCTGCCGCTCTCATTGTTGGTCAGTGAGTCCATCGGACTTAGCTAGGAGGAACTTCCGAGAAATTTCCACAAACCATCTCCACATCCATCACCCGTGGTACGCTCCCATGCGCGGTAATGATCCCGCTCGAGGACAGAAAAAAAATATAGAAAAAAAAATTGCAATTTATCACTAAACATTATTACATTTTTTTTTTCGATGCTAGTAACCAATTTTCAATTTATGTTGACACATTAGGTCATAAAAATATGACAAATAAAACCTATCCACATGCATTTTCAGTCCCTTTCTTTTCACTGAAGCCCTGAAGAATAATTTCATAGTGATCCGAAACTTATGTTAAATAAAATAGTTTACAACATTTGTCATTTAATATTATTTTCACCATTACCTTCCTCATATAATAGAAAATCAATCATTAGATACCGAATGGTCAACGTTAAACGAAATGCACTGAACTAAAATTAAATTTAATAATATGTGTAATGCCATGTTGACATACTAATTACTTTAAGTGGATCAGTAAATCAGAAGAGCCGACTTGCAAACAGGGACTCGCGGAATACTGATCCGCTCACGGCTCACCACTGGGAATAGTTAATGCCGCATCTACATTCTCTCTGCGGCCCCAAAGTCCCCTCGTCCCGTTTAGTGACTGCGCTGCCTACGTGTATGGTCCACGTGTTTACTGCCAGTTATATCGTTAACTGCAACTATATATTGTAGTTGTCAGTATACAAGCACAATATATAATGCTCATGTTACACTGCTCGGCATTCATTAATTAATCAAGGTATTTAGTAAATAATACTAAATATCTGTGCCCCGGAGCTAAAGGACAACACATACATTTTTGTATTAAGCAAATGATGAACCAAATTTTAATAGCTCAAAGTGATGAAAAATTAGCTTCCTGAACAAATACAACAAAATATTTTAATTTAAAAAAAAATAAATAAAAACAAACACAGAATAGAAAAAAAATGAATAAAGTAATCGTTTCTACTTTAAGTACACCAGTGAGCTTTAGGACTCTACCAAACCATCGAAATCTTTTCGTATCCAATCCTCCATTCCCTACAATATTCTTCAATGATATTCCACTAAACGTCTCACTTGGAATCCGCATACTAGAGTGAAACGACAAGAAACTGGTCGACGTTTCCGACTACTCCAACACTTACTAGACAAACGCTCTAAACTTTTAATCAATTACAAAAGACTTAGCCATAATAAGACCTATATGGACATACGGAGTTGAGCTTTGGGGCTCTACCATACCATCGAATTCCTATCGTATCCAATCCTTCGTATAATCCTTAATGACCCATATTTTCTCACAAATAAAACCATTCATAAAGACCTTGATGTTCCATATGCCGCTGATTTAGCCCAAGCCAGATACCTATCCTATGATAAACTCCAGTCCCATCCGAATCCACTTGTTTCCAGTATTGCTTCGTCTTCGATTCCTAATAATCTCCCTAAGCTTCTGTAAAGAAGATGGCCTCGTGATCTTCTTACCTAGAATTAAATAGGGAGTGGTACCACTGGGTAGTATCTCTTCAAGTCTGAGCATGTCATTATTTCTAATGTATGCATATTTACTGGTTGTATTTTTATACAGTTTTATTAATTAAATTTCATTAAATAAATAAAGTACACCAGTGAATTTTTGAAGTGGTTTTGCATTTGGATTAAAATATCTCAGAAACTAAAAATTTGACGTGCATAGTGAAAGCAAGGGAAATTTTCAAAATTTTAGGTTGCCCTGACGCCGTGTTAGAGAGGTAATAAATAAAAAAGGGAACGAGTTCTATTCAAGATATGTACGAAATCACTTTTTAATGAGCTATTATTCAAAATCTTAACGCGACAACGTGTTAGAGAGGCGAAAGGAGAAAAATATTGCCGAAAACCAACTGCTAACCAAAAACGAAGTGTCAGCGAAATACCTTTAGGCACCCGACTATTACACCAAGTATAAATATTTGTAAATGTTAAACAAAATGTTTAAGTAGATATGGAAGATGTACATTTGATTAAGGTGGACATAGTCTCCTCAATTTCTGTAGGCGTTTTTTTCATTTTAACGTTTTTATTTTTTTAAATATTAACAATTTATTTTTATGACATATGATCAGATGGTATTATTTCAAATCAATTGATAACTATAACAAAGAAGTTGTTTCATTATTTTGAGCTGAAATCGTTTCAATATATTCACGAGATGTCACTGAATAATTACAGCCGTCAAAGCTAAAAATCGGTCATGCCATTCGCACAAAAACTCATTACTGAGCATTTTGAGCTGAAATTGTTCCAAATCACTGAGGGGATCTCGCCGAATGATTTGAACCAATCAAACTTAAAAACCAATCCAGCTGTTCGCTCGAAAAGAATTACATACATTTTGCAGATGACCTAAACACATATAAGCCTCGTTTGGCTTCGCTCAATCGGGCAAAAATGTGACATGATGTTCTGATTTTACAAAAAAGAAAATTCATCGAAGTTCTTAGTAATTTGGGGTTATAAAATGTCACTTAATGACTTTTTATAATAAACCGACGATATTATTATTGTATTCATTTTTTGTTTAAAAACATTGCCTAGAAGCACAGAGCTTCACAGTTTATTTTATAACCCTAAAGCATCATGGTGTGCTTATTTTCTAGTATGTATTGTGTACATGTATATAGGTATTGTGTGTATGTATGTATTGTACCATAATAATAATGATAATAATACAACGATTATAATATGTACAAATTATATTAGACAACTATTTCTTAGCCTAGCCTAGTATCCTATTTGGAGGCGAGCGGTCCTCCAGTCTGCTCTTAATGGCGGACATCAACAAGAAGATGTCCGGCGGTCCGAAGGGGCCGTATTCTTCCAACATGTCTTCAAGCCTCACTAGTCGTTCCTTCCCCTGCGGGAAACACAGAAAAATTAAGTTATATTCATAGCAATAATAGAGTTAAATCTAACGCTCAGAGCTGGCTTGACAGCCAATAGATTGACCGAAAATTAATACTATCATACAGAATAATTTAATTTTGTTTTAAAGATACCACTTAAAGAAATTATAGACATGTGGAGATATGGTTACAATGATAGGGATGATTTATTTTTGATGAATTAAGTGATATAGTTTGATTTAAATTCGAGGAGAGGGGAAAGCATGGTAAGGTTATGAGGTGCAGAAATCGTTTCAGAGGTCGGAATTCGAAAGTATCCAGACTATCTATAGTATATTCGAATTATATATTATATTTTTATTATATAATTCGAAAGTATCTAGACTATATATAATATACACAACCCATAATAAACAGCCAAAGTATGTCTGCTGGTCTCCACAGTTTTCTATTAAATCTATTTAACAATGACGTTTTTGTTATATTAAATGAAATAATTTTATCCGGATAAAGATAATTTTGATACCTCCCAAAGGTGTTACAAAATAGGTGTTCCCATAAAATGACTATGAATAATAATATTTAAGAAGAAATTGATTAAAAATAGTCACTAAAAATAAGCCAATGATCATTTTAAATATTTGACACACAAACAACTTCATCTCCACTGACAATGATTTGTGCAATTAAGGTCAGACCTCAACTGAAACAGACCCATTGAGATATTGTTGGACACTTGAGCGAGCATAGCGAGCTGAACTTAATTAAGCATGAATGGTTCCAATTAGCACAATTAATCTTTAGTGCCCACTGAACAACAACGTATGTATTGGTTATGTATGGGCCCTCCAGAGTTATTGGGAGCATTTGCCAAGATCCAAGAAGACCTAGATCGAATTAGTGTCTGGGCAAACTTAAACGGATTAAGGTTAAATGATGCCAAAACTCAGGCCATTGTCATTGCTTCCAAGTCTCTTCTTAGATCCCATACTGACTTTCACATCCTTCACCTTAATGACCAGCCTTCTCCTCTTCTGTTAAAAATTTAGGATTTTTCATTGATCAAAACCTCCTTTGGAATCACCATATTTCTCATATCTCTCGACGGAAAATTTCCACCCTCAAACTATTCCATCGCTTCCTCCATCTCCTACCTAAACAAATGCGTACACTCCTAGTTTCTTCTCTCATTTTCCTCCACTTCGAATATAGCTGTGTGGTGTATGATGGCCTCTCTGTGCAGCTCCGTGATAGACTGAAAAGACTACTGAACAGCTGCGTAAGATTTGTGATCGAGGCCCCAAGATACTCCCATGTTTCTCACCACCACGCTGAGTTTAAGTAGCTTTTCCCCTCCATCCGAAGACAATATTTCCTAGGTACGTTCCTCTACCAAATCATCAACAACCATCGTCCTTCTTACGCCTACAACCTTCTCCAGTTCAAATCCTCAGTCCATTCCCTCTCCACAAGATCTCGACCTTCTAACCTTTACATGCCTTCTCACAGATCTGCCTCATTCCAAAACTCCTTTATTGCTCGCTCTGTCAATTTCTGGAATTCCCTCCCTATCGAAATTCGACGTTCCCCATCAATATCCACATTCAAAATCCTCATATTCCAATTCCTATCCCAAAAACAGTCATATAGTTGGAATTCTCTCCCTATCAAATTCGACATTCCCCATCCATATCCACATTCAAAACCCTCCTATTCCAATTGCTATTCCAAAAACAGTCATATAGTTGCTAATCATTCGACAACATACATTTATTTCATGCTATTCATTGTCAAAAATCAAAGGAAAAGTGTATCTATCAGTGCAAATAGCTTTAAATGTCTTGTTATAGTGTTAATTGTTTTGTATATAGTTTCCTTTTTTTTGTATATAGAATGTTTACCTTATATTTTCTTTACATTATTTCCTTTTTTCAATTGATTTTATTTTGGTCAGATGTAATCTTTTAATTTTGTTATTCTCAAGGGACTTCCAGAATAAAGTTATTTACTATCTATCTATCTATCTACACTACAACAGAGGTTCCTAGAAGGCGGTTTCTTAGTGCAAGTTGCACTATCGCACCACAAGTTTTTAAGATGAAAAATTTTAAATAAAAAGTGGAAACATAGAACAGAATGTAGGATGTGTAACTGTACATAATCCACGAATTATACTTTTGTTTGCACTGTTTTTAAGAAGAGGAGAGGAGTAAAATATCTTGAGAAGGGTGGGGGAAGGGTTATACACCATAGACCTAGACGGAGATGCGTACCTTCATGTTATAAAATATCTATTTATATTTTACGCTGGTACTTGGGATATTTACATTTATATGATTCGATACGCACTCAGGCGTTTTCAAAATATCTATCTATACTGTGATCGATATGATCTTGTCCCAGTTTGTTTCAACTATGTTTTTGTCAATTTCGTCCTTATTTGTCGACAAGTACACAATAATTCACCAAAATGAAACAAACCATTTTGACGAGTTCATCTCAATGGTCACGCCATAAATGGGATTCCGAAAATTAACCTCCTTTTAATTATATCGCGATTACGACTCCCGCAAACTACCAACTGGTTCTTTTTAGATAAAACTAGTGCCTTAATTAGCTTTGATTACATCCCTCTTTTCAACTTTTTCATGCTCAAAAGAAATAAACAAACCACAAACGGGCCTTTTCAGTTCGAGTCGGGAACTTATTAGGTAGTTCTTCCACTATCGTCAAATTTCGGACATGCTCGGTCATTCTCGGTATTCCATTAATGGTGTGAAATAATCAACCAAGATGGAGTGTCACTTATGCAGTAATATCCATTACGTATTTTTTATTTACGAATATTTATGTTAGAAAATATTCTGATTTCACGAAGAGAAAATTCTTCAAATTTATTCATAATTTGAGGTTATGAGTTGTCGTTTTTTTTTTTGTTTTTTTTTTAATAAACTGGCGTGTTAAGGGTGGCTACACTGATGTGTAACCTTACTGACAAGTAACATGTGATGTGCGCAGTAAAAGTTAACCTAACTTCATCTAGTTTTTTGTATTATAAAGTAACATGGCTCAGTCGTAATTTATTGTGGTGTTTAACAAGCCGTTGAATTTAGATATCTATGTCATTGAGGTGTATTTAGTGGCGACAGAAACAGAAAAGAAGCCTCTATAGGTTCAAGTAGCAAGATTTGAGGAACGTAGTATGCACGGATGGATTTATATTATATACAACTATTACGATGCTTACACCATCAAACAAGATCACCATCAAACAACAGTTTTAGCTATCTTGGATGTTTTTGAAAAATATTGTATCCCGCAAAATAACGAAATGGTAACTATCTTTAATTTTTTTAATCGGAAATGGGAAACAAGATTCCGTGACGAAAGCATTAAATTTTTGTTTCAAGTCACATTAAATAGCAGCACTGTGATTCACAGCTTCTTTGATAAGGCTAAAGCACAGTGGCCTAATTATAAAACTAATATTATTTTTATAGGAACAAAATATTTTTGTTAGAATTCGTTAATATTTTTCGAATAAAAAAAATATGAGACAGAAATTAATTTTTAAAAAATATGAAGTTCAACAATTAATTCGTATGATTTTGTAAATGTGATTTATATATATCAATAATGAATAGTTAAGAACGTTATTTAACTAGAATACAAGTTTTAGGCAAGTTAGTAACAAAAAAAAAAAGAAAAAAGGGAACTTTAGCTAATGTTAATTTATTATTATCCACTACAGAAAAATAAATATTTTTGTTAAATTTAAAGGAAGAATGAGTAATTTGGTTTAATAATGTTATTTGTTTGTAATTCTTCCTTTAAAATTCTGTAGTCGAGGGAAAAAAATAATCGATCCTCAATTTAGAATGAGTTTATTTCATCTTTGTTCTTATATATTCTTGTCCATACTAAACATTTTGTTTATTGACTTAGCGTAATTGGCTCCATTCGGAAATATTTTCGACGGTCAGCTAAATGATTACGACCAAACGCGTTGAACGATTTTCACCTATTCTCGAAGTCATGATAAGTAGGGTTCTAATACTAAATAAGAGGCATAAACTCACATACAATATAGGCTTGTGTAAATTTAGTAAACTGGGAAATACCTTAAACGATATACTCAATGGTATTTTTAACAATATTTTTTAAAAATATAATAATAGGCTACCACTTTTATCAGACCTCCTTGAATCTCGAAGTCCGGATATTCTCAGAAGTTTCTGTAAATTTACCTACGTCTATCTAATTTTTGCCTACGTCAATTTAATACATTAGCTATATCGCGACAAATATAGAACATAAAATAAAATAAATTTCTGCTGCATCATCTCGGTTAAAATTCATCTTAAAGGACTGAATGATATTTTTTTAATATTCTGAATCTAAACATTGATCAACATTTTAAAAAATCTAACGTTGTAAATGCATTAAAAAATTAAATAATTACTTTTTCTAAGCTTATGACATTAGTAAGACAATCGATTAATTATAATTTCCCCCAAATCATTTAGTCATCTTGAACCTCCCCCCGCCAAATTACTTGAGTAACCACCCGTTCGGTTATAATGTTCTAATAAATGTTGGATTTGGTTACCTTGGTAACAACGCAAGTGAGTAAAATAGTCTTCAACATCTTCACGATTGAATCGATCTGGAAGAAGAAGCTGTAGGCAGTCATCAACAATAACATTTTTTTGTACATGGTGTCGTCTGTTCGTTGAGAACAATCAAATACAACTAAATATTCTAAACAACATATGCTATTTTTTTAACAACAATTAAATATGTTTATTTTCTTAATTGTTACATATCTATATTAATTTGGAATCCGAATTTGAGTATGGACAAGTTCTTAAGTTCAGTGCCATCATCGGTACCCGGTATTGGAAATCTATCAAACCGTTCGTAAAATCATCATTTTATCTTTAGAAATAGAAAATAACTTGATTCTGGTACAAAGTCCCTTTATAATAACAAAATAGTACAAAATTAAAATATTACATCTCGCCTAAATAAAACAATAAGAAAAAAGAAAATATTAGTTAAACAAGCTTTATAAAAAAAAAAAAAAAAAAAACCTATATAAAAAGCACTTAAAACTATGACAAGACACTTAAAACTATGCACACTAGGGAAAATTATAATTATACATTTTTAAGAAAGAAAAAAAAATACATTGAGTTCTTCTTTAAAATAAGCTCTGTGTTTCTGCTAACAAAGGAAAGTCGAATCTGACAATATAAAATGTCAGAGTATTTTAATAATGAATAGTATGTAAACACATCATTATCTTATTGTAACTATAGGTAAAGATTTAGTTGTATGCGAATAAAAAAAAATAATAGTAAAAACAAACAATAGATGAATTCAGTGGTTTTAAGAGAGATATTGTAATATCCCTACTGAAGTTTACAGTATGGAATAGTACTATCGTTTGATGAAGAATGATATAATATAAATGTATAATACCAAAAGATTAGTAAGTAGCTGACTGTTTTTTGGAATAGGAACTTGGAATAGGAGGGTTTCGAATGTGAATATAGAGAGGTAGCGAATGCCGAATTTTGATAGGGAGGGAATTGCAGAAATTGACAGCGTGAGTAATAAAGAAGTTTTGAAATGAGACAGATCTGTGAGAAGGGATGTAAAGGTCGGAAGGTCGAGATCTTGTGGAAAGGGGATGTAATGGCGTAAGATGATTGTCGATGATTTGATAGAGGAACGTACCTAAGAAAGACTGTTTTCGAAAAGAGGGAAGAGCCTCCACAAACTCAGTGTAGTGGTGAGGGACATGCGGGTATCACGGGGTACCAATTACCATTCAGCCATTCATTATACATTATCTACATTGAACAAACGTTTAACAATTTCTACAAGGTTAAAAATACAAAAATATATTATATTTCTTATAACCTTACTACAGCATAGCCACAGTCAGGGTTAGGCATTTAATTTGACCATTTATGAATAACTAATGATTTTTTTTTTTTAGTGAACGACTCAACTGATTTTCAAATTTAATCCAAGTTATTCACTGAAACTATGCGAGCGTCTTGACACGAGTTGATAAAAGAAGATTATTCAACTTTCCGATTTCCGAAATAAACAAAACGGTTAAATCAAATAAATTGAATGCACCAAATATCTAACTTCAAGCCTATTTTGATAAATTATTTAAAATGTTATAAAATTTATAACGAGTTCAACTTTTATGTGCTAATAATTCTTAATGATAGAAGCAATATAAAATTCATTAATAGTTAAAAATAATATACGTATATTAGTTTTGTGATATTAAAATCCTTTGATACAGATATAAGCTAGATTTTAAAACTGTTTAATCTCCATAGAAGATCTCCATTCATAGAAGCTTATACAAGAGTGTTTCCATAGAGGTTTATAAAAACCCCCTCAAAGGCTGTCCAGGCAATTTAAAAACCAATTTATTAAAGGTATCGGGATCACGTGTGTATCAATTGAATTTGTTTCCTATTTGAAGAGGAACGATTCGACCCAGTTTTGTTTTAAATTGTCTGACCAGGGTTTTTTTCCAGGTCGGTTCAATAATATTATTCCTTTATGTTTAGTCTCCCCAAAACAATTTCATTGCACCTTTAACAAAAGAATCATTAATTATAAAAAAAAAAAAACAATAATGGAAATTAAAACCTTTTCATAAAGGTTGAATGTAATTGTATGTTTGGGTCGTTTATAAATTAGCAGTGCCAGTGATTTTTTTAATAGTAACCTGTTATTTTACGTTACTAGAGAAAAACATATGGTATCGAATTTTTGTAATTATAATTAACCTAATGATTATTTTTTTGTAAGGTTATCCACATGACCTAAAGTTTTTGGATATTTAGTAATATTGTTTTGAAAAAATATTTTTCGTGTGATTTCTTCTGTTCCAAACAAACTCTTTGCTGCATTCATTGTTGTTTCTTATTTTTGCAGCAGCGCATATTGAATTTGAGTGTGCACTCCAATCTTAGAATCTATAAAATTTTCTAAATGATTTACTGTTAAGTGTTTGTAGTCTATTCCTGGAATTCTCCTTGCACCACCTCTCCATAAATCAGACATAATAGTTGTGCCTGGAAGAATTGTTTCTAAAGTTGCTGAGTTTCTGCCTGGGACAGCGTACTGGAAGAAGAGGGATGGGATATCGAATGTCCAATATTGTTACATATTTTAATATCAGCCTATAAAAATCGATACCATCAAAATATCGGACTTGAAATATCAATGGTCGATATTTTCATCGATATTATTAACATTTTTTAAATATTAATATTAATATAAATATTGATTCTCTACCACATAGGCGCATCAAAAAATATATTTGTTCCTCTTTAACTTAATTAATGGGACTATCGATTTCGATTCTTTCACCCTCCTTAGTAAAATATTTTTCATGTTTTTTTTTAAACGTTTTGTAAAACTTGAAAAGTTACTGGAAAAAAATTATAGTTTCAAAATCACCCCTCAAAGTAAGGAAACAAATATTTCCGTCATACCTAAATTGATGAAAAATAAAAAATTAAAATTTAATTTCAAGCAGCGTATTTTAGATATGTTTGAGAATGTGATGCAGAGGTGAGTATGAGAGCATCTTACTGTATAAAACTAGGTTTGAAATCGATATTTAAAAAAATCAAATGTAATAAAAAAAACTTTGTCTGGAATATTTAAAAATCATTGGATAAGATAAGAGCGATTTTTATTTTTCATCATAAGCGATATAAATATGAAATATAATATAATGTTATATTAAGTGAAAGCCATTCTCCTAGGCCTTGAGAGATTGAGTGAACGAAAAGACAAGAAAGTTGCTTTCTTTGTTTACTCACAAGCAGCCATTTTATCGCAACAAAATAGATATAATATTAATCCAAATGCCCTTAAATACCATCTGTATTTGGAACGATTTAAGTAAAATGGGACAGAAGTCGCTTTCCAATGAATAGCAGGCCATTGCAGGGGCTCCACGGAAATGATGAAGCTGACAAACTGTTTATTATTAAAACTATAATAATAGTTGTTGTCAACTATTAACAACAGAACATCTTTATTTCCGGAATTCATTAGAAATTTCGCCTTACATAAAAATAAAAAACACATTTACATATATTTATTTGCAGGTATCGCGTGCAAAAATTAATGCGATACTTAAAATATAATATTAAAAACTGTGTACATTAATGAAATAGATATACATATTAATGTTTAGTTGAATTAGTGCATAAAAGGTGATTTTTATTTTCTGAACAAATGTTTTTTTATCACAATTTAATCACTATTATTAAATTGATATGTAAAACCGTATCACTCAGTGAGTGATCATTATTTTTAATCGAATCAATAAACATCAACGATCGATTTAAATTTTTGTTTATACGTCATAACTGATTTTTAAATCAATAATAAAATATAATAATATTAATCACATATTTTTTTTTAAATATTCCATTATTCGTTGAAGTAAATTTCAGCTGGGGAAAAGTAATTCATTCATGAATAAGATAGTTGATGAACACATGAGGGATATAGGCTTTGTCGAGTTGATGATGGCCATGTAAGTGAATGATGAACCACTTGTTAGAGAGTACACGGATGAGGGATGGAGGGGGTAAGCGATCCTCCACTTCGGCGGATGATGGGTGTAGTTCATCGGGTGATGAAGGACGTGCCATCAGCTGCTCGGTATGGGCTGCCTGGCTCTGATGTATCGCTCTCCCTCGCCATTAGGCGGGGTAGTGAAGGTGGGGGGAGGGTTTCCTTACGTCTTAGTGAGGTTTACTCTAGGAGAGTGTAGCTCAAGCGTGGAGGTAATTCGGGACTACACACTATCCATTTTGTAGTGCTCAAATATATACACCTTTTTGTAAGTCGATTTAAATGTAAACACTCGATTATTTTCTTTATTTGATTTTTGATGAAAAATAACTACAAAAATAAAACAAGGGAAATAGCGTAATTATATTATAACGCCCTTCATTGCCGCATACTTCTGTGAGGCGATGTGGGTATTCGCCTACCCTCTCCCCTTCGGTAAAACTGCTGAGGGAGTGTGAATATTTTTTCACTCCCTCCTTTAATTAATTTGAGGTAAAAAAATTAGAATTAATTAGAAGTTTTTTTTTATAATATTATTTATTGAAAAATATTACAATCTGTCTCAAGGATACAATAGGATATAATAGTGTTCACAGATCACATTCACACTCTATGTACAGTAAATAAAATAAATTATACAGAAAAATAACATATATACAATAAATAAGAATAAAATAACCTAAAAATAAATGAATAAAAAGAACACATCGATAAAACTAACATAAAATCGATTTAAACTAAAATCGAAAAGTCGGCTAGGCTAAAGCTCAGTAGTAGATATGTGAATATTTTATTGATACCTAAATGTATCTTTTATTTATATTGTCATTTATATCCAAAGATAATAATATGTATCAATGTATCCTACGATTTTATGATTCAATTACCCCTATGTTTTTCAGGTGATATTTTTATCACATTTTCCGCTGCGAACTAGTTGGACTGTGAAAAATGTTGTATTTTTATTTTCGGTCGTATACATTAAGAAATCAAAGATATTTTTCATTTTTTTTTTTACATTATTCATTTTTAGCTGATACATTTCTAGAAATATTAATTATCTTTAGGTTATTTTATTTTTTTTCATTGAACATAGTTTTTTATTATTATTTTACTCTTGTTAATTTTATATTTTCTGTACATATGGTGTGAATGTGTTCATGTATCACTATAAACTATTGTCCAAGTGACAGATTGTTATAATTCTAAATAAATAAATAAATAAAAAATAAGAAATACGCCACATTTTCGTGAATTCTTCATCGAATTTAATCATCAAGCCCCCATTTTGAAGATCTTCTTCTTCAGATGAGAAAAACATTCACATCCTCTCGAAATTTCAGGAAGAAAGTTATGAAGGAAAGGAAACTTTATTTACGACTAACATAAATTTCCGGCTGAAACTTCGTAAATAGTTTCTTTCTTCTTAACTTACAACTGTTTCATTTAGGTTGAAATTGGGGCGTTTTCAATCTGGCGGAGAGCAAACTTTGTATATTTAATTAGGTACTAAAAACTCGTAAAAAAAATATTGGGTTGTTTATCCTATATAAATTCGTCATTTTGAAAATTTTGGTGTGTGGGTCATGCCAAACGGCTCAATATTTTGTAAGCCCACCTTATTTCTCGACTTTGTGATCAAATTATCTTACGGTCTAAGTAGAAAACAAAGTGTTTACTAACGATTTTTTAGTACTTAATTAAATAGGCAAAGTATCCCCCCCTCCAGATTGAAAACACCCCAATTCCAAGAATTTTTGTAAATTAAATAGTTGTGGGTTACGATGAGATGAAACTATTTACGAAGTTTCAGGCGGATGTTAATAATTCGATAAAAAGGGGTCTGTACCCTATCTGGACTAAATAATTTTATTATTAACTGAGATAAAGGTTATTGTATTTTTGTTTCAGGTGTTGTTCATAAACATTTTATTTTAAAATATGAATGAAGTTTTATAATAATTTTCTGTTCCATCGGGAATTCCAATCGACCCAAAAATAGGAAATGATTCCTCAATCTTTTGATACGTTGAATTATTTAAATTCATAATTATTTTGTCATTTGTTCACTGATCAATATTATTGGATGAGGCAACTAGTTTAATAATAATGAAAATGCAAATTTAGTAAATTTAAATTTATTACACTAGCAATATAAAAGTAAATTTTAGTAAAATGCAAGCCTTCTTTGTCATTTATTTAAAGTTTAGACGACCGACTAAATGTTCTCTAACGCAACTCGGCTGGTGAAATTTTATTTAGATTTCCGGCGGAAGGCCATTGCCTCCCTGATCAGAATAACTGCCGCCATTTCTCACAGCTTTTCCTTCAGAGGGGAGGAGGAGGGGGGGGGAGGGGAAGCAATTGCCTGGAAAAAAAGAGAAAAGTAATAAAATAATATTTCCCTCCGGAGAAGATCTTTCGTCTTAGCCTAAGGCCGTTTATTAGCTTTGAAACAAATTATCTTTGATGTCGCTCGTGTATTGTATTTTCCTTGAATCGACATAATGATTGGAGTTTAATAAATTATTTCCAATAATATACTTTATGTAAATATTTATAAAGAGCTCTAAAAGATAAAATGAAAACAATTAAGAAACTGGAGTTTTAATTTAGTCATTAACATACACCTAATTGGTATCATGGACCGTCTACAAAGGGAGGTGTTTGACTCTTCAATATTAGAAAGAAAAAAAAAAAAAAAAGAAAGAAAACTATGATATGTCCTTTAGAACATACAATGGAAAGAATCAACATGGTGAGGTTAATAATATGAAATATATTTTTTTACATTCACTTACCTATTATTATGTAATATATAGTAAGGGAAAGTACTGTGAATGAAAACTTTCGAATCTGAGTTTTCAACAGAAATATACTTTTTGAGTTCGCAATGGTATGAGTGTATGTGAACGGTCTAGCTCAAAAACGAAAAGTCTACGAAACTGATATCACGTATTTAAGATAGGTATATGACTGTGATGTTAGCGCAACTTTTCCCTTCAAATCGGCTAACCGGAAGTGCCACTTTATATCAACGCTGATACACATTTTTAAAATTTTCTCAATAACGGCTCTTAACGATTTTGATTAAACTCAATGTATCATTGTATAATTGAGTGGTCTTTATTATCATTTAGGTCTTATCCATATTTATGTCACTTTATATGGCTTAAATGCATAATGTCAACATTTCATTCACGAAAGAACCTTTAATTTAGTTTATTTTGAATAATTCAAAATTTATTGTATAGCGCTTAAATACCCAATGTTCATATACGTCTTCCCCTAAAGTACTATTAATTTGGTTTATTTTTAAAAAAATATTCTCTTTTATCGACAGTGACTACAGAAAATTCTAAATATAACTTTTGAAATATTTGATAATTAAATAACAAAGAAAAAAGAAAAATGCTTATCCAGGTCGAAAATTAATCTCTGGAAATAATAGTCAGAACGTATAATTTATCGTTATATAATATATGTATCGATATATAATATATATAGAAAAAATAATATAAAATAAATTAAGTTGTAGAAGGTAACGGAGATTGACGAAAAACATATAAAGAATAATTTCTGAAAACAAAAATATTTAGAGTAAATCTCATGTTTCCATGGAGATTAAATGTAAATGTAAATTTATTTTTTTTAACCTCAAAAAAGTATTTAAAATCGACCTATTCAAGTGAAATATGAAGTGAAATAGATTTACTGTATTTGAATATCCTAGATCTGATATTATATTTAAATAATTAGCTATCTATCATCCGTTCCGAAAAATTACTATGTAAAATAATAGTTTAATAATTAATAGTCGTAATCTATAATCAACCGTTGACATAATGTTTAGGATTTGTGTTTTATAATTATAAATGGTATTAATGAATTATGAACTGTAAGCTGTAGCTCGGTTAAAAATGCACTTCAGAAAATTATTTATATTCAAAGTAGATTGGTAATTGAAAGTTGTGTGTTGCCCGCACCAGATTATTTATTCTAGATTCACAAAGTAATAATTCACAGATGTAATTTCGAGAGTTGTTATCAAAAGAAAATATATCAGATATCAAGTGTTTGGCAGCCAAAAGGTATCTCAAATGTTTTTTTTTTTTTTTACATGTTTTCATTCATATATACATACAAGTTTAAACCTATTATAATATTCACATTTTTCCCATTATGAGCTCCGTTTCAATCCTGAACTGAGTGGCCTGGTATTTCTTAAATCAGCCGCCATTTTTTAATTCAACGGCTTATTTAGAATGGCAGAAACGGTTCATTTTACTTACAAATAGCATACACTCTCGTAATTCACATGAAAATCTGCTGCTATGCAATTATTCCGGCCTTTTAATGAGGGTCTCTTCCAGCATCTTCATTTATGGTTGGCTCGTAAAGCATTTCTTATCAAGCAATAAATCTTCCTCTCACACCGACCGGGCATAGGACTGATGACCCTACCCCGTGTACTTAAGGAATCGGGTTGCGGTTTACCAGGATGTTAACAGCCCCCTGGGGTTCGGTCCATGGACGGTATATTTCGGGGAAAGAAATGTAGGTTCTCGTGCGGCTGCTGACTCCGACCAGCCATAATCCATGGATCTATACCGATTTGTCAATCAATCCAAAGAAATTGAACAGTTTGTTATATAAGATTTAGATAGATATATAGAAAATAATAGTCCGTGGTACAGACCTCATTTTATCAAATTATTAACATCCGCCTGAAACTTTGTAAATAACTTCCTCTCATCGTGACCTAAAAATATTATATTTACCAAAATTCTCGGAAGTGGGGCGTTTTCAATCTAAAGGGGAGAAAACTTTTTTCTATTTAATTAGGTACTAAAAACTCGTAAATACCCATTTGTTTTCCTCTTTAATCATAAGATAACTTCAGCACAAAGTAAAAAAAAAATGTGGTGTACAAAACCATTAGACCGTTTGGCACATATAAACTTGTTATTTCAAAAAGTTGGCTGTGTATGTCACGCAAAATCGGCCCAATATTTTTTAACGCCACCTTTTTTACCGACTTTCTGCTCAAACTATCTTACGATTAAATTGGAAAGTT